CTTTTCGGGCTTGTGTTTTGTGTGTGTTTGTGCAGCTTCTCGCTGTGGACTGTGTGCCTGCCGGTTCAGCTTGTTCCTGCTTTGTTTTGCTTGAGGCACTTTTTTACCTTCTGCCAGTAAATCCTATGCTCCGCTTCATCTGGTATCTTGCGGACATTCATTGGTTCAGCTTGTTCATGCTTTGTTTTGCTTGAGGCACTTTTTACCTTCTGCCAGTAAATCCTATGACTTCTTTCATTGCTCAGCGCTCGATGCCTCTTGAGGATGCGGCGTTTGGTCGGCACTTCGTGCCTGATGACGGACCTGCTGCTGAGGTCTTGGCTCGCAAACGCGCCGCCACCTATCAGCGCCTCACCATGCAGCTGACGCTGGAAGCGCTCTTGTCTGGTGCGAGGCGCATGACGCCCTTGCGGGCGCAAGCACTTCTCGAGCCAGAGGACAGCTCCTCCTCGGACTTTGTCGAGTCGCCCGAGGAGTCTTCGCCGGAGGTCTCCGACTCCGATGGGGGAAACCCTTCGAGTGGCCCCGACGATGGGCGCGGAGCTGGCGACTCGGAGGCGTCTCCGTCCCTCACTGTGACGTCGGGTGCCTCCGGAGAGCTCGACACGACTGGGGTGCTTGCTGCTGGTCCGAGCTCGCCTGCTTCCTCCCCGGCATCGGTCGGGTCAATGCCTCTTGAGGATGCGGCGTTTGGTCGGCACTTCGTGCCTGATGACGGCCCTGCTGCTGAGGTCTTGGCTCGCAAACGCGCCGCCACCTATCAGCGCCTCACCATGCAGCTGACGCTGGAAGCGCTCTTGTCTGGTGCGAGGCGCATGACGCCCTTGCGGGCGCAAGCACTTCTCGAGCCAGAGGACAGCTCCTCCTCGGACTTTGTCGAGTCGCCCGAGGAGTCTTCGCCGGAGGTCTCCGACTCCGATGGGGGACACCCTTCGAGTGGCCCCGACGATCGGCGCGGAGCTGGCGAGGCGTCTCCGTCCCTCACTGTGACGTCGGGTGCCTCCGGAGAGCTCGACACGACTGGGGTGCTTGCTGCTGGTCCGAGCTCGCCTGCTTCCTCCCCGGCATCGGTCGGGTCACGCCGGTCCTTGGGCATTGCTGCGGCGTCGCCGCCGTCACGGGCGGCTACCACTGACTCGGCTACCGCTGACTCGGAGGCTAGCGAGGAGGACTACCTCGAGCGGTACCGTGTTCCTGTGTCCAGCCTCCCTCCGTCCGCTGCCCCTGGCGGACCCCCGGGCAGCGCCGGCTCCTTGTCGGCGGCTGCCCTTTCTCCGTCCGCGGCCGCCCGCTTTGTGGCGGCAGCGGACGTCTCGACTGACAGTGGTCAGTCGGCTGCCTCCGGGTATCGCGTCTAAGGGATTTTATTCCTCCTGCATGCTCCTGCTGCTTGTTGCTTGATTGCTTGACCCTTCGGCTGCTGCTTGTCTGCGCGGCTTCGCGCTTGGGCTGGCGGTGCCGCGTCTGGGCGCCAGCAGTGCTGGTTCTTTTCGGGCTTGTGTTTTGTGTGTGTTTGTGCAGTTCCTGCTTTGGACTGTGTGCCTGCCGGTTCAGCTTGTTCCTGCTTTGTTTTGCTTGAGGCACTTTTTACCTTCTGCCAGTAAATCCATTATCTCAGTAAAACCTATACCTCACCTCCCTGCATCCTGACACCCTCCGCTTCACCTGGTATCTGGCGGACTTATCATTGCTCAGCGCTCGATGCCTCTTGAGGATGCGGCGTTTGGTCGGCACTTCGTGCCTGATGACGGCCCTGCTGCTGAGGTCTTGGCTCGCAAACGCGCCGCCACCTATCAGCGCCTCACTATGCAGCTGACGCTGGAGGCACTTTTGTCTGGTGCGAGGCGCATGACGCCCTTGCGGGCGCAAGCACTTCTCGAGCCAGAGGACAGCTCCTCCTCGGACTTTGTCGAGTCGCCCGAGGGGGAGTCTTCGCCGGAGGTCTCCGACTCCGATGGGGGAAACACGTCGAGTGGCGCCGACGATCGGCGCGGAGCTGGCGAGGCGTCTCCGTCCCTCACTGTACATAGAATTGTAACGTCGGGTGCCTCCGGAGAGCTCGACACGACTGGGGTGCTTGCTGCTGGTCCGAGCTCGCCTGCTTCCTCCCCGGCATCAGTCGGGTCACGCCGGTCCTTGGGCATTGCTGCGGCGTCGGCGCCCGCTGACTCGGAGGCTAGCGAGGAGGACTACCTCGACGGAATACAAGTTTGTTAGACTTGTACTAGTCCAAAGTCACGCAGATATCACATCGACCTTAGTTGTAACAAGACAGTTTTTGCTCAAGACCGAGTTTAATGCACACAAAACCAGAATTGAGGAGCACATGAGAGTCATAGGATTTACTGGCAGAAGGTAAAAAGTGCCTCAAGCAAAACAAAGCAGGAACAACCTAAGCCTCCAGGCACACAGTCCACAGCGAGAAGCTGCACAAACACACACAAAACACAAGCGATAGACTGTATGCTAGGATGTGAAAACCAAGCTAAGGCCTCCTCTTCGTCACACGTACTACATTGCCGCCTCGCCACGTAACTTGTAAGTCGTCTTGGTTTACAGGAGAGTTTTTGTTAACTCGGCGCTATCTGACTGGCACGGCTGGCATACGTTCCATCTTCCCCCCGAGTTTCTGAAATAGTACGTTACATCGGACGTCAGAAAGTCACACAAACAAGAGAATGTCAGCAGAGATCCAAGTCAAGATACGATGATACAACGTCAAGCTCACAGTCATGCTGAGTGGGCAATAACCATTCAAAGGATTGTCCATTCTGAAGAAGATTTTCATGCAGGGCTATTAGATGTGCAGTAAAGAGATAAGGGAGATGCCCCTGGCGAGCCGATGCAATGACGAGGGAAGGAGGATAAGATAAGAGAGTCTGAGGAGAGAACTTCAGATAACAGAGACTCCCCCGAGAGAGAGAGAGAGCGTGCCCGCCGGCATTTGAAGACCAAAAGATAAATTTTGAACCGTAAAGAACTTGTGACCAGAGATTGCAGTCTATCTCTCATGTGCTCCTCAATTCTGGTTTTGTGTGCATTAAACTCGGTCTTGAGCAAAAACTGTCTTGTTACAACTAAGGTCGATGTGATATCTGCGTGACTTTGGACTAGTACAAGTCTAACAAACTTGTATTCCGTCGGTTATAAGCCTCGATTACATGCTCAATCATGTTGATCTCATATTTGGTTAGTTGAATTGTTTACTGTAGTTTTCTCTCTTGGTATTGTTTTCCGTTGCTGTTGAAAATTCATGCAATTTTTATCAAGCCTTACACATTCGGATGACTCCTCTCTTCAATCAGGCTCTCTCTCTAGCCCCAAGTTGTTTAGGCCTCTCATCTCAGCCTCAATTTGTTTGATTGATCTTCGAATAGGAAAAACAAGCCTTTCCCCAGCCAGATTGGTCGGTCGAATATCTGCTTAACCGTGTGGAAACGCACTTGAAGCTGATTCGATTCTTATTTTTCTTGATCTTTGAGTAGGATTTCATGTCATGGAGCTAGGCTGTGGCATGCATAACTGGAGCTACTTCTGGATCGGCGAACAAGGTACAACTGCAAAACATCTTCAGATGAGAGGACCTTAGCAAGACGGCTAGGAAGGCCTCTTCTTCGTCACACGTTTTACATTGCCGCCTCGCCACGTAAGTCGTCTTGGTTTACAGGAGAGTTTTTGTTAACTCGGCGCTATCTGACTGGCACGGCTGGCATACGTTCCATCAGTACCGTGTTCCTGTGTCCAGCCTCCCTCCGTCCGCTGCCCCAGGCGGACCCCCGGGCAGCGCCGGCTCCTTGTCGGCGGCTGCCCTTTCTCCGTCCGCGGCCGCCAGCTTTGTGGCGGCAGCGGACGTCTCGACTGACAGTGGTCAGTCGGCTGCCTCCGGGTATCGCGTCTAAGGGATTTTATTCCTCCTGCATGCTCCTGCTGCTTGTTGCTTGATTGCTTGACCCTTCGGGCTGCTTGTCTGCGCGGCTTCGCGCTTGGGCTGGCGGTGCCGCGTCTGGGCGCCAGCAGTGCTGGTTCTTTTCGGGCTTGTGTTTTGTGTGTGTTTGTGCAGTTCCTGCTTTGTTTTGCTTGAGGCACTTTTTACCTTCTGCCAGTAAATCCATTCCTTTCGCTGGACACAGGAACACGGTACCGCTCGAGGTAGTCCTCCTCGCTAGTCAGCGGTAGCCGAGACCAACACCGCCCGTGACGGCGGCGACGCCGCGGCAATGCCCAAGGACCGGCGTGACCCGACCGATGCCGGGGAGGAAGCAGGCGAGCTCGGCCCAGCTGCAAGCTCCCCAGTGGCCGTGCTCCTGTGTCCAGCCTCCCTCCGTCCGCTGCCCCAGGCGGACCCTCGCGGCCGCCAGCTTTGTGGCAGCAGCGGACGTCTCGACTGACAGTGGTCAGTCGGCTGCCTCCGGGTATCGCGTCTAAGGGATTTTATTCCTCCTGCATGCTCCTGCTGCTTGTTGCTTGATTGCTTGACCCTTAGGCTGCTTGTCTGCGCGGCTTCGCGCTGTGCATGCAGGTTTAGCTTGTTCCTGCTTTGTTCTGCTTGAGGCACTTTTTACCTTCTGCGAGTAAACATTCACCAGTCTTCGCCGGAGGTCTCGGCCTCCGACGGTGGAAGCATCTTGAAGCCTGAGTGGAGCTGGAGAAGCGTCTCCGTTCATCATTGTGACGTCTGATGCCTCCCGAGTCCGGAGAGCTCGACGCCACTGGGGTGCTTGCAGCTGGTCCGAGTTCTCCCCGTCTCAGCTGCCGCTGCGTTATGATCACTTGGAGCGGTACCTTCAGCATGCGGCGGATCCCCGGGTAGCGCCGAGTTTTACTCGCATAAGGTAAAAAGTGCCTCAAGCAGAAGAAAGCAGCAACAAGCAAAACCGTCAGGCCGCGGACGGAGAAAGGGCAGCCGCCGACAAGGAGCCGGCGCTGCCCGGGGGTCCGCCTGGGGCAGCGGACACATGGAGGCTGGGCGCATGCTGACGGTACCGCTCCAAGTAATGCAAACAGTCCTCCTCACTGTCCGCCAGTGACGGCGACGATGCCGCAGCTATGCCCGAATACCTTCCATGCACCCCAGTGCCGTCGAGCTCTCTGGAGGCATCAGACGTCGCAGTGATGGACGGAGACGCTTCTCCAGCACGCGATACCCGGAGGCGTCCGCCGCCGCAGAGCTGGCGGCGGGCGTCTCGACTCAAAAGGTTTGTGAAACCTCTCCGACGCAGCAGCATGAAGGGCGTAGGGTGACCTCCCCCCACTGCTATCACTGATCACTGACATGACACAGGACTTCACTGGTTTGCTGTACATAAACTACAAGAGGTTGAGGCATCTGCCTCATCGGCTCGTTGCTGCTGATTGAGACTTTGCGATGCGCTCCAGCACGGCCTTGAGGCTCTCCTCACCCTTCTTCACCTCCTCCTGTGCCTTCGCTGCTGCTGCCAGTGCCAGGTCTTCCACTTCCTCCGCATCCTCCGCAGCTGAACTGTCCGAGGTTGAGGTTGAGTTGCCTGCCGGTGCTCGCACAGGCTGAAAGTGAAGGGGTGAGGCTGAGGAAGCGAGTTCCTTCTCTGTACCTTGACTGTCTTCTCCTCCTTCCCCTTCCCTTGAGATTTTCCTCTCACCCGAGCCAGCAGGCTTTGAGCTTCAGCATAGCAGACCGACAAGCACTGCACCTGAGGCGCACTTGCTGTCTTCATCCCCGCAGCTGAAGGTGCCTGACGTTGCGTAAGCCCTCAACCCCTAGACCCTCTTCCTCCCCTATCCCTGTAGCTCCCTACCAGCCTCTCCTCCTACCTCCTCCCCTATCCCTGTATGTTTACTTTACTCAAAACCTGTAGCTCCCTACCAGCCTCTCCTCCTACCTCCTCTTTCTCCTTCTGCAGCGCTGTCTTGAGCGTCGTGATCGCATCGTCGATCTGTCAGTTGCCCGTCAGTCATTCGTCAGTCTCTTTGCCTCTCACCTTCTTCTCCTCCCCCGCCGCTTCTTCGCTGCTGTCCCCATGCAGCGTCGCGTTCCACTGGCTCCCAGCCGCGATCTTGCTGGCGACGCGCATGGCGTGATCGACGCGATGATTCCAGGCAGGCCATCGCAGGTGCTGCAGCGAGCAATGCTCGCACAGAGGAAGCTGCGAGCGACGGGCGCCATGAGCCTCATCGAGCCTCCTCGACGGGAGAGGCTTGACGAGAGGCTTCTCACTTGACCAGAGCCGTTCCATCTTCTCCATGCTTGAAGCAGCCGCGTTGGCGAGAGAGGAGGACGGAGGCTTGTGAGCTCTCAGAAACTTAGACTACCCGAGGGTCAGCGGAAGCCAGGAGGAGCTAGAGTAGGAAAGAAGCAGCACGAGCAGTGAGAGTAGGAGGGGGAGGAAGAGGAGGAGCAGCAAGTAAGCAAGAGTAGCGGGAGAACCTCGGCCGCATCTTCTTCCTTCCAGAAGTCGTTGAGCTTCTGTCTCGCTTCCTTGGCAGTGAGGTAGTCGACGAGCTTCCCTGCAACATCATCAACCTCACCCTCCCTCACCCTCCCTCACCCTCCCACTCACCAGGGTGTGCAAGTGCTGGTTCCCTTCCTTCCTGCTGCCAGTACTCCTTCATCTCCTCCCGCGCCTCCTTCCCTGTCAGAAAGTCTCGCGGCTTCGCAGCCTTTTGCTCCAGACTTGAGGCATGCGGTTGATCGTTTTTGATCGCTAGGATGCAGAAGATAAGGAAGCAAGCAGCAGCAACTGCGAACCTCGTCAGTTCCATATCCCGTTACCGCCCTGTCTCCCTTGATAGACTCCCTTCACCATGAATTGTCTTATGTTCCTCCCTGTTTCAATGGCCATCTTCGTCCTTTCCCTCCCTCCCTCCTTCTCTCCTTCTATCCCTCCCTCCCTCCTTCTCTCCTTCTCTCCCTCCCTTCTCCTTCTCTCCTTCTCTCCCTCCCTCCCTTCTCCTCCTCCTCCTCGCACCTGTCGCGCTCTGTCGCCATTCCGCTCCCGCCATTCTATTTCTGTACACAACTGGATCTCCAGCCCTGTGAAATCTAGCCATTCTAAATAAATTATGTGGGCTCATTAACAACTCTTAATATTATTTACAGCTTTTAATTCACATTAGAGCTGCTTTAATTCCCATTGCAACTCTTGATGACGACAACAATGCCAGGGAAACATGGCTGCTGCTGGCGCTGCTGGCGCTGCTGTCCACGGCGATGCTTGCTCGCGCAGACATCTCCCCCCGACCACCAGCAGCGGGAGGATCCGTCGGTGGAGGAATACCACCCGGAGGAGACGCTCCCCCGCCAGCTGGAGGAAGGACAGGATCTCAGCTGGGAGGAGAAGACAAGCGAGCAATGGAGAAGTTGAAGGAGGAGGAGAAGGACGCGTCCTCGCAGCTCAAGGCTACAGAGGGTCTGGTGAGGTCCGAGGGAAAGAAGCTGAGCCTTCTCGAGCCCAAGGTAACAAGAAGACGAGAACGGATGGGGGAAAGGAGCATTGAGATACGGATCCGAAGATGAAAGGGAGGGAAGGGTATCGGAGAAAAGAATTATCAGGGAGGAGGGAGGGAGGGAGTGGTGTAGGATGACTGATATCCGCTGAGACTGCACGCAGGGCTCATTGGCAGGCCCCAACAGGACGAAAGAGGAAGGAGTAGGGCAGGCGGAGGCAGGAATCAAGGTCGAGGAGGAGTGATTTGTGAAAAAGCTGACGGGGAGGTGGCAGAGGGAGATGAAGATGGAGGAGAAGGAAGAGAAGATCCTATCGTCGACAGCTCGCACCGTCGCGAAGCTCGAGAAGAAGGAAGAGCAAGACAACGGTAGCGGAGGAACTGAGAGACGAGATGCCAGGGAGCAGGCGAAGGTGATGAGGGAGGTCAAACAAGGTCTCGACAAAGTCTCTAGCATGGAGCAGAAGCAGGGGCTGCTTATCGCCTCCACAGACAAGAAGATCAGCAAGGAGGAGGCGAAGGAGAAGGAGGGGGAGGAGGAGGGGGAGGAGGCGAAGAAGGAGGGGAGAAGGAGGGCGAGAAGGAGGGGGAGGATGCAGGCTCCGATAAGTCTCCCGCCGGCGTGGAGGAGGGAGCAGGAGAGGAGAAGGATATCCGTCAGTGTACGATCGAATGCCTGGAGGACTGCAAGAAGGACTGCAGCAAGTCGAGCAAGAGCGAGGGCGAGGCCCGCGAGTGTCTGTCCTCCTGCCGCAAAGACTGCGTGGAGGTGTGCAAGGAAGGAAAGGAGGACGAGGCTGCTGCGAATGACAAGGGGGAGGAGGAGGTCAGCGGCAGACACGGCAGACTCCATGAGCAGGGGCTGCGTCGACCAGCAGGGGAGGATGAGGAGAATGAGGAGGGAGAGAGAGAAGTAACAAGTCGCAAGCATCAAGGATCAGGGGAGGTGCAGAGGGAGATGGACATGCAGTGCTTCAATGGATGCATGCGACCCTGCCGCTCCTCCTGCCGCAGCGACGAGCCGGTGATGATGATGATGATGGAGATGATGATGGAGATGATGATGATGATGATGATGATGATGATGAT